CATCTTAAAAGGATAAGCTTTTAATTTTTTTCTTTAAAGTAATTGTGTTTTAAAAGTTTAAAGTACAACAATAAATTCTCTGTTATTTTCACCACTTTAGTAGAGCTAAAATACCTCATAACTTAAAAGCATAATTAATAATTCGGTTCAGCGTTTTGGTTTTGTTTTTATTCTGAAACTGAAGTGAGATGATTAAGTTATTAAACAGAATTGCTCATTTTCACTTCTATATGACTGTAATGTACATATATTAAGTATTTACCAAAAGATTGCAAACTCCCCCTGGGAATGAGAAAAACCAATTGCTACATGCAGTTTAGTGAGGAAGAGGAGCCCTTTCACTCTTGACATTGTCACAGTCAGTATTTTCACATTATCTAAAGAAAGTCAAAGAATGGGGCATCAGGAAGAAAGTCAAATGGAAAAGCGCCAGCAGGAAAGAAAGCACACCAGAGCAAGTTAGCAGAAGCCAAATTAGAAAGGTGCCTTTCAAGTAACAATACTCCATCAATGGCTGAACTTTCTTGAAGTGCAGTGAAATGCATATAGGTGCTTCTTTTTTTTTATTTAATTTTTTCAAATTTTTTTATTGGATGTTTTATTTACATTTCATATGTTGTTCCCTTACCCCATCCCCCACCCACCCAGGAACCCCCTATCCCCTCACCCCTCCTCCTTCTTCTCTGTGGATGTAACCTCTATCTATCCCCCCCAACTCTCACCTCCCACCCTCAAAATTCCCACCCCCTGGGGCATCCAGCCTTCATGAGGTCAAGGTTCTCTTCTTCCACCTATGCCCAGCTGGGCCCTCCACTCTTACATATTCAGCTAAAGCCCTGGATCCCTCCCTAAGTGCTCCCAGGCTGGTGGTTTAGACCCTGGAAGCTGTGGTTGGTTGGTATTGTTGCTCTCCTCATGGAGCCCCAAATCCTTTCAGCTCCTTCAGTCTTCACTCTAACTCCTCCATTGAGAACCCCATTATCAGTTCAATGGCTAGTAGTGAGCATCTGCCTCTGAATATGTCAGACTCTTGAAGACCTCGGAGGAGACATCCATATCAGGCTCTTATCAGCATGCACTTCCTGACTTCCACATCAGCATCTACCTTTGGTGACTGCACCTGGGATGGATACTCAGGTGGAATGGTCTTCAGACGGCCCCTCCTTCAGTTTCTGTCCCTCACTTTGTCTCCATATTTGCTCCCTTGAGTATTTTGTTCCTCCTAAGAAGGACCGAATCGCCCCCACTTGCTCTTCCTTCTTTATGAGCTTCATGTGGCCTGTGAGTTGCATCTTGGGCATTTCAAGGTTCTGGGCTAATATCCAATAATGAGTGAGTGAATACCATGTGTGTTCTTTTGTGATTGGCTTACCTCTCAAGTGCTTCTACATAAAGGTGCTTAAGGCTCTTTAACCTCCCACAGCCTAAAGAAATTTCAACTTACTTGCCAAGGTATTTTTTTGTTGTTGTTGTTGTTGCAATAGTTATAAAAAGCTTACACACTGTGGGTTAACCTTCTGCCTGCCATTTAAAAGTAAGGACTTTTTTTGTTAGTTTGTTTATGAGAGTGAAGGGAATTATTTACTTTTTTGGGGTTTTTTTTGTTTAATTTTTTTGTTTTTTATTTTATTGGATATTATATTTACATTTCAGATGTTATTCCCTTACCCCTTTCCCTCCCACCCACCCCCACCCAGGAACCCCCTATCCCATACCCCCTCCTCCTGATTCTATGAGGATGTGCCCCCACCTACCCCCCCACTCCCACCTACCCACCCTCAAATTCCCCCTCACTCGGTGTCAAGCCTTCATGGGACCAAGGATCTCCTCTCCCACCTATGCCTGACAAGGCCGTTCTCCCCTACATATACAGCTGGAGTCATGTGTCCCTTTCTATGTGCTCCCAGGCTGGTGATTTAGACCCTGGGGAGCTCTGGTTCCTTGATATTGTTCTCTCCTCAAAGGATCGCAAACCCTTTCAGCTCCTTCAGTCTTCTCTCTAAATCCTCCATTGGGAACCCCGTGATCAGATCAATGGTTAGTTGTGAGCATCCACCTCTTTATATGTCAGGCTCTGGTAGATCTCTAAGGAGACAGCTATATCAGGCTCCTGTCAGCATGCACTTCCTTACATCCACATCAGCGTCTGCCTTTGGTGACTGCACATAAGATGGATACCCAGGTGGAATGGTCTCCAGACGGCCCCTCCTTCAGTTTCTGTTGTTTACTTAATTCTGCTCTATGCACTTGCAGATAACAGCCAGCTCGGTCTCAGAGGTGCATTCGATGATGTTCTCAGATCTGCTCCTCTTGCCAAGCACTAGCTTGTTTGATGTTTTAAGAACTTCAGTCAAGAATCAAAATGTATTCAGAAGTTGTGGACTTATCAAGGAAGATTGGTGAGAGTGCTCTGCAATCCAGTTTCAATAACACAGAAAAGGCACCATGCGGGGGGGGGGGGTCTAAATACATAGTCTGATTGAACCTGGATATGCATTAAGAAACAACTGGAGAGTTATAAATGCTTCCTTTAGAATCAACAAATATTGAAACCCAAATCAAGGTTGATACCATTTCTGACTGGCATACTTTTACAGAGTAATAGGAAACATTATGCATTATGAAATGAAAACAACCGTGAAGATGTTTGCTGAGCACTTTCTTCATGCTAGACACAATTCTTCATTCTTCATATGCACAGCTTTACTGATTTTGATAATAAACTTATGAGGTCAGTGCTGTTATTGTCCTTCTGACAACAATGGAAACAATGCAGGAGATGAAGTAATTTTTCAAGGGTATTCAAGTAGCAAATAAGTGTCCATGCTCTTAAGTTGAAATATTGCTTTGACATAAATCTATTATAAAGGAATTTCTCTGCTTTTCACAAATTAGCTCACTCCCTCTTCCCATCCCCCTCTCCCTCTGCTTCTGCCTCTGCTTGTGCCTTTCCCTCCTCTCTCTGGCTATATAGGCAACACAGTCGGTTCTTTGTAAATCAATCATATTTCTCAAATGAAAACTAGTCTCCAGACATACATATGTGTCTCTCTACATATCTAAGAACCCTTATAGCACAAGATTTATGAGAAAATTATAAATCACATTCTTTTCAGAAGGATTGATCTTTTGTTGTAAGAACCATGAGATTTTATAAGATAAAACACAAATGATAATCACTTTCTCCATATTATATTTATCTCATTTCAAACATAAACAGCATGATATAAATAAACATACTAATCATAATGCTATCTTATGAAAATTCAAAGAATCTAATAATTTTCACAATAGAAGAATCATGCCCTGTTTTTGAGCATAGCTGGCTTGTAAAAACTGCTATTCTTTAAACAAGTATTTTATTATGGCCAGTGGTGTAAAAGCTATATCACATCTATGACACATGACTATCTATTGACTTGCAAAGATAGTCCTATTGTTAAATTATAAATTATATCTATTAGTTTGAGTCATTTTATATTTATAAAGTTTATGAATATATTAATTTAAATTGAAATGTTTAGACATAAATAAATTATATTTATGGTATTTACAAATAGAGTTCAAGCTAACAAACCACTCCAACAGCGTTGCAATTCATCTGGCACAGAGTTCCCAAAGATGCTGATATACACAAGAGAAGTCAAAAATTCTGAATTTCAATTCATTTCTTTTGTGTCACTCTAGACTTGCCCTGTCCCCACTTATCATTGTCAATCCAGAGAATCAACTCGTCTATCTTGTGGCCAACAACACATTGACTTACAATTTCTACAGTCAAGTTAAATTTCACATTATATTGGAGCAGGAGTAACACATGGGTGAGATAAAGATGAAAGATGAGAAAATGGTACATAAGTATTGGAAATGGTCAACTACAAACAAAAGATAAAAGTATACAAGAAGAAAGCTTCTTATTGTGACATTACTGACATGAGCACACCAATTCTTTTTTTTCTATGTTCATAGCAGCTTTATTCTTTTTTTTTAAATTGGATGTTTTATTTACATTTCCTATGTTGTCCCCTTACCTCATTCCCCACCCACCCAGGAACCCCCAGTCCCCTCACCCCTCCTCCTTCTTCTCTGTGGATGTAACCTCTATCTAACCCCCCCACTCCCACCTCCCACCCTCAAAATTCCCACCCCCTGGGGCATCCAGCCTTCATGAGGTCAAGGTTCTCTTCTTCCACCTATGCCCAGCAGGGCCCTCCACTCTTACATATTCAACTGAAGTGCTGGATCCCTCCCTAAGTGCTCCCAGGCTGGTGGTTTAGGCCCTGGGAGCTGTGGTTGGTTGGTATTGTTGCTCTCCTCATGGTGCCTCAAATCCTTTCAGCTCTCCTTCAGTCTTCACTCTAACTCCTCTATTGAGAACCCCATGATCAGTTCAATGGCTAGTTGTGAGCATCTGCCTCTGAGTATGTCAGACTCTTGAAGACCTCTGAGGAGATATCCACCAATTCTTAACAAGTCCATATTGTAAATAGCATGTGACTAAGGGTTTCAGACCACTGAATACTTCTAGGAAAGTTCTACCACTGATTTTTTTAAGTGACAGGCAAAGTTATTTGTGAGATTGGAAACCCAGCAGGCTTGCCTTCTTGGAAACCAGTTATCATGCACCAGAGACCCAAATCATTTGGAAACTCAATATCAGTATCTTGTAGAAACTGTCTACAGATCTGAGTGTTTAAGTCAGACAATCTGAGATGTTCATGGAACTGAAAAAATGCTCAAAACCAGCAATTTCTGACACAACACTACTGAAAACACAGGGGATGAATCTCTTATCACAATAATGAGCTAATTATAAATGATAAGTCAACTCATTTGCCTATTTCTCAGAAATGCAACTTCAAAGTATCTGATTTAACCCTTGATTTTTTTTCAGAAGGCCAGTGATCCTCTCAATGAGATAAGCCCATAGCTTAGCTCTTGTATCTCTCTGTGTCTGATGTTTAGGTTTCCAGTTCAATTAGAATAAAGATTATGCTCACCTACTACCCTGTGGCTTATCCTTTCAAAAATATGCTGGTCCAGGCTGGTCTTTGTTCATTCATGGCACTCACTCTTGATTACTCAGCATTAGATGATCTTCGATGAGTTATTAAGTCTCTTTGAGCCTCAGTATCCTCTTCATCAAATAGAGATAGTGACAGTAAACACTTCATTTGGTTTCTGTGAGGATTAGATGAGATAATCTATGTCAAGTGTTTATCATAGCATCCACACATACAGACATCTGAAAACTTCTAGCTGTTGTTATGATTTAGGATTGAATACCAGGGGATCATTTTAGCACTATAAATAGATTTTTATCCTTTCTCAAAGGAAACTAAGATAAATTTATGTCTTGCACAAGAATTACAGAGAACCATTATCTTATAGGCTACAACTTAGTTGTTAATAAGGTATACTATATTTGATAAGAAAATGATTCTGTCTTTCAGATCAGGGACTGGAAAAATAAGCATGTAGAAGAGAGTTAGGGTTTGCTATAAAAGCAGAGTCTTACTTTGTTTCTCTTTTTGCATGTATTAAAAAGGGGAAGACAGTACAGGAGTTGGTAGGAGGGAATAATTTACACTAGTGCAAGTTCTACTTCTCTACGTTATCCATTCACTCATTAATCCATAACATAGTGCCTGTTTTAGTAATTACACATTTTTGTGGTACCATTTACTGAAGCAAAACAATTATGCCTACATTGAAAGTTAAGAAATCCTTGTCTATACATACTACTTGTGTCCAATGAAAGAGCCAGCCACTCACAGTCTTCATGAGTGACAGATACAACCACACTCTTGAAGCAATACTGTCTGGTAAAAAAAAAAAAAAAATTGAGCTATCAAGACATTGACACGTATGTTAAAGAACTGGAGCTCCAGGGCTTATGTTGACCAAGCCAAGGAAAGGGAGAGCATTCTACCACTTGCACATATATAGAGAGGATTTTGAGTTTAAGCTGCTATAAATTCATAACTACTAGGTTACAGTTCCTGGTAATGCCAGAGGAACTGTGACTTTTTTAGAGTAGCCTTTACCAGTCTCCTGATGTCTAAATCTGACATAACTAGTCTCTGAACACTGTCCACCAAACACAGTGGAGGGTTGTACTATGAATCTAGCTCACTGAATTTTTCTGATACAGTGCTTTCTCATTGATACTGATGTGAGCTACGAATGCTTTATGCTGAATGAATCAATGCACTCATCAATCAAGCTCATAATATAGAAGCAGAAGGGAGCCTCCTAAATATGTTAAATTAATAGACTTGGAAGAATTTATTTGTTATTGATTTTGCTTATTTGTTTTGTTGTTTTGTTTTGATTTTACAGAACATACATGTGCCATGTTTAGAGAGAATCATCTCTTCTTTTCTACTGGTAAAGCTTTGCCTTTCTTAGAGATATTAGATAGAAGTATATACCATTTCTCTGCTCACAGGAAGCATTTAAGACATTTTGTCAGTGGTACATTTTTGAGGATCTTATACATGTACACAATAACATATGATAATTTATATACTTATTTCTACTTCCAACTTTTATATTCCTCAAGAATGTATCCTCTTAATTTTATTAGGTTTAATCTTTTTTAAAATTTTTTAAGAATGTCACACATAAATACTTTTATGTCACTCTTTTCCCTTCCTTCCCTCAATTTATGTTCCTGTTTTTCTAAATTAATAAGTTCTTATTTAATTATTATTTCTATAAAAAACATAATCACACACATACACTAAGTATACAAAACTAATTGAAACCATTAAGCATTGCACACATATGCATGCACCCATGGCTGACCACTTGGAAATGGACAGCCTATGAGTAAGACTGCCCCTGCAGGAAACAGAATCTAACTTTCTCAGAAGACATTATCTATGTGTAGATACTCAGTTATGAATAAGGCCTTATAGAATTTCCTCCATTGTTTTACTGTTTGTATATAGGGAACCTTAATACTGATATTTCATGGGTTTATATTGCCTTTTATGTCTAGAGGATACAGTATGTAGTGCAGATGTACTAGACAATTGAGGTTTTTAATCTTTTTGCTCTCTCTTCTGTAATTTTTCTCTGAGCCTTAATTATAGGGGTTGTGTTGGAGATGCATCAATTCATTAGGTACCCCTCAGCAGTCACATTTTCCTGAATTTTGACTACTTGTGGATCCCTTTACAAATCTTTTCCTTTTGCAAACGAAAATGTTTTGGAAGTGCTGTGATTCACACTATCCATGAGTATAATAATAAATATTTAGAATAAAATTGGAAATCAGATTAGTTTAAAAAATGGTGGCACAATTTACCCATATAGGATTTAGGGTCATTTAGCACATGGAAAACTTGCCAGTGGCTATAGAGTTCGACTCTCCTCAGTATGTATCTAATACCAATAGCTCCTCAATAAGGGATGTGTCTGGAGGTCATGTCCTCTCATAGTCACAGTTTGGGCATCATTGACTTTTGTACTATTGTCTCTTGGAAACAAATATTTATCAATGAGATGTATTGGCTCCATAACTATGATTCTCACTCTAGAGACTAATTTTAGCATACTAGTAACATTGTAGTGGTAAAAAAATGGATTTGGACCTTATGTGAATTTATTCATTTAGCTGTGCTGAAGATAAAGTTGATATTTGAATGCTAAAATAAGTCAGCATTTCCTTTTCCATCAAAACCATAGACAAAACAATTGATTCAATATCCCCCTAAAATCACTGTTGTTCAATTTAGGCATCATATGAATCCAGTTGATGCTGGAATAATTAACTAAACCTAGAAGTGTCATTATACTCAGCATTCCATGCCAAAACATCTATCTCATTGGGTACTGTGAGGATTAATAAGAGTAACCCCTGATACAGAAAAGAAAGCCAAATGTTCTGCATGGGTTTTGTGGCATAAACATTATACATTAAGAATAATAGTTTAAAGCTCTTAAGGTATGGAAGTGGAGTCTTTGTGATAAAAACTTTTACTCTTTTTTGCCAACTACCTACAGTATCTGAAATACAATAAAACATGTAATGGATGACTGAAACAACTTGGAAAGTATCTTATGACCTGTGCTCATAAAACACCAGTCAGATTGACACCTCTATTCAGAACAGGAGCATGGGGTTAGAGAGAAATATCACAGAAGGGCATTTAATAAATCACAGAAGTCCAGCTTCAGCCCACACCACTCAACTCAGGAGTATACTGCTCTCCATGAGTCACTTAGAGTGTGATCCCCTTGAAGGGACATAGAGAATCATGTCACTAGGCATGACTGCTTGAAGTTCTAGAAGTTTTTAAATCATTTTACAGAACTATAGGGACAGAAATGTGTTCAACTGGGACTACAACCTCTATAAGTATATTTTTTGGAAAGCTGAATCTTGGTCTTAATGGAAACCAGTGTTTCCATTAAGAGAAATACTTTAACATAGTTCTGCAATTTTTTGGCCCAGATCCTTCATAAATAAAAGATATATCATCAAGGCATACATATATTTTCTCTTCAAAGGAGAAAATATATGTATGTTTTTCTATTTTCCACAGACAAATTTTAAGCTGAAAAGCATAAACTTCAATGTCTAGTCCTCACATGCAGACTCTTATCCCTGTCACTACTGTGCATTCAATTTCCTTCTTCAAATGTCAAAGCAACTAATTTTCTCTAGTATTGGACTAGCTCTTCCATCTATGTTTCTGATCTAACCTCTATTGTCTTTGTTAGTATCTCTATCTGTCAGTATCACACCATTAGTTTTATATTCTCTTTAGCTAGTTTGCTGTTGGCTTATTTAAAAAAAATGATCAAATCCTTGCCCCTACTCCTGCATACACACATGAGTATATATGTCTTGTATAGGCACAACCATCCATTTATAGCGACTGTCTCTTCCTCTACAAAAAGACTACACAGATTGGTTCACATTTTAAGTATTCTGATTTCAAAGATCTTTTCTGTTTCTATCAGGGAATGTGTGATTGCCCATTGTCTCCTTAGTCAGACAATATACTGTAGGCATTTTCTTGATTTACCTTTTGTTCTTCCACTCACACAGAGCCTTGTCACTTTCTAGCCAACTGACAAAGATAGGTTCTCAATTACCTCCCAATATTACAGGCTAAGAGCCAATATTATAATCAGAATAGATTTTCCTCCTGTACATATGCTATATATATGTTTTTATATGTAATTGTATAGGTATATAGGGTTGTTTTTCTCCTAAGGAAATGTTGTGAGGTGTGTGTGTGTGTGTGTGTGTGTGTAAGAGAGAGACAGAGACAGAGACAGAGACAGAGAGATCAGGAGTCTTCTTTGTTGTCAATTCAACTAATTGAATTAGGATCTCTGAATTAAATACAGACAGAGTTCATTAACGTGCTTAGACTACATAGCCATCTTGCTGCAGGCATTCCTCATCTCTATTTTCAAGGTCAATTTGTCTGTGAAGTGTTGGATTTACCATTATCCATTCCTAAAATAAGTCTTCATACTTTCCATAATATTTAATTTATTTTTACATATAAGCTGGCAGAAAATATATTTTAAACACTGATTTATAGCTGAAAATATATATTCTACTTTTGTGTGTGAGACCACAGCCTGTACTCCTAAAATATTCATTGGTTGAGTGTATAATGAAAAAAATAATATTCTAGCTATAAACTCTTATTAAAGTATATATAAATATTATCTTTCTCTGATTTCTCCAATTTCAAATCACAGTTTAAAGAATTCAGCAAGAATATTTTTCTTTATGAAAAAGACAAAATTGACTAGGAAAGCTCATAGCATATTGTGAGAATAAATGCCAGGGCAAGAATCAAAGTCAAATAAGAACAGCTTACAAGCTTATGAATTAGTTGCTCATTCAAGTTTATTCTGTCAGTGTTAATGCTTATTTCAATGATTTGTTCTGTCAATTATAATACACTATACAGAAAGAACTTATATTTGAACTTTAACTACTCTGCATATGAAAATATATAATCCTTCGGACCATTGTCAAAACAAGTAATTATGTTTACAATGAGCCTTGGAAATAACCATTAGAATGAAGTAAATTGAATGTTCATTCTTTAGACATTTATTTAACAAATGGTTTAAATATACGTAGGTTATAATAAGTATTTAGAGAAAATAAAGAGCTATTACAATATGCGTTGTGTTCTTAC